CAGTTGATGGGAAAAGGTACATGTGCCACAGATGTGACGATGCCTCTGTGGTGTATATCACCTGTATCACCTCTGCCCGACACCCCCATGACGCTTTCGCAGGAGATGGAACGTTTAGAAGGCGTCATGGTAAGTGCTCATCATGTACGAGAAAAGATGGAGGCACTGACGTCAGCTTGGGAGAGGAAGCGCGATGCTCGCGGTAACGTGAGCACAGAGCTTGCCCAAGTGCGAAAGTGCAGGACCATTTTAGAAGACGAGATTGCTCGTCTTCAAAGAGAAATCCTGCAGCTATCGGAGAAAGAGACGCAACTAGTGGAAGAAGAAGACAGGTTGCGTCTCGAAGAAGACGTCCTGGGGCATGAGGTGGAAACGAAGCGCCCGAGGTATGAGCGGCTCTGTGTGGGTGCGCAGAAGCTGGCGCAGCAGTTGGCGCATGTACCGAAAGATCCGGTGGAAAAGTGTGTGAATGATTAATTGTTAAGTGTAATTGTAGTATGTATGTATTGTAATTAGTTTGAAGTAATAATTAGGGTGCAGTAATTAAAAATCGTAAAAAAAAAAAATGGCACAAAAAAACCAATTGGCACAAAAAAAAAGTTACCGGGGTAGGTAAAGGGGTGTTAGAAGAGGTAATACAGCAACATGTGCGGAGGTAACATTAGCTGTAAATGATGAAATATGATTATACCTGATTTTTTACGATTTTATCTTTCCTAGGAGACGCTGTCTATAGGTATGCGAGGGATGTAAAATGGGGTTGAAAATGGGGTGAGAAGAAAATTGGCTGAAAAACATCATAGGGAAATGGGTTACTGGGGGGGGGGCGACAGAGGTGGGCGGAGGGGGGTCAGGGGAGCTAAGGCCGAACGGGGTAGTTGTGTGAATTCAGCTACTGCGATAGTGCCAACTTGTAGACCCAGCTGTCAGTATTAACAGTGGCAGAGGGGTCTCTTTTTTTAAAACCACTCCTTATAATTCTAATTAATTCTACAAGTTAAGGGTAGAAACTAAGTTCCTTAATAACAGCGGTTCACCACATTCACTCGATGGAAAACGTTCTTCACTGAAAGGCGAACTTTTTTTATTGAAACATTTTTCCGCTATCGTCCACCCTTCATACACTTTCTGGGGCTGAAAGTATGGGGTTAAACCATGTAAAAAAAATATTTTCATACTTTTTTACGCTTGATCATTTTAGTTACCCTTAAACATACATTTCACAAGAGGAACACTTTTTTTTTTTTCAATGCTTCTATTTTTTAAGTAACTTTGAAAGTGTTAAGATTTTGTCAACTTTATTTTTTTTTATTTTTTTTTTTTTAAATTCTAATAACTTCTGTTGGGTAGCATCTTTTAAGAACATAACTTATTGCAAGATTGTATCTCCTTATGCTTCAGAAAAATTTATACATGGTCCGTTTTACACTTTTACCCCCATCATTTATTACGTTGAGGGATTTTATAAATATGTTTCTTCTGTTCTTATACTACATCTCATTACCTAACATTTCATATACTACTCACTCGTTCAACTCATTAATTACACTAACTTATAATTTTTTGAAACACATCGACTTCCACCAAATTTACTATCATAACTTTTCTTCTGCGACACCTCTCCATTGAAATCATAAACGGGTAGTACATTATAAATAACAACTTTTATCTTCTCTATGCTTCTTCCATTATTACACTTTTTCACCAATAAACAATTACTACTGTTCCAACATTATATACAAACTTATGTCACCATTCCTACCTTCCTAATCCCCCACTATACTATACTCCTTCCCCAATAATACTTCATCATCCCCACTATTCCCCCACCACCTTTCTTCCTATATAAACCATTGAAACTTTCGTAGAGCATCACTTCATGAGAAGGGTCTTGCGGTTTACAATGGATCTTTCTCGTGTATCCACTGTCCTTTCACCATTCCGACAAACAACCAATTCAATTGTACCTATCACCCGGTTGCAATGCAACATTTGTCAACGTCTTCGTCAAAGCTGTAACGTTGCAACAGGGTTCTGTTGTCAAGAATGTCTTGATAACACACCTCGACTTTTTTGTTACAGCTGTAGAATGTATAACGTCGATGTTGTGAACTCCTGCTGTCGACCTTGTCGTCAGGGGGTTCACTCATACCTCTGCGAAAAGTCGGGTCTTCTTTATGAGATCGATGATACCCATACACTTTCCTGCCTACTCTGCACTTCAGCTGAACAAAGGCGTCATCTCTTTCGGTCCATTATGATGACACCATCCTTGCACTAACTTTTTTCCTAATTACCTTTCCCTTTCCTTCCCCACCCTGCCAAACTTTCCTTTCCCACACGTTTGACCTTGACACACTTCTTCAAATATATACCACTGTTACCTACATGTTGTTTTTATTAAATCTACTTCCACATTACATCATCATTTATTTCAGAACAAATTGTAGTATATACATGTTTACGCTCCATCAACATTTACGATATTATTACAAATTTCCCTCACATAACCTTCTTCAAATATACTATCCCTCCTTAAATGATGGTTATGGGTGCAAACAAATTCGCAACTGCAAATCTCTCCGCACCATCCGCAATGAATGTGGACTTCGTCGTGGAGGTGAACTTCTAACATCCACAAATTCGGTACTCGCGTATACAACGATATTATACTACCATTGTTCGCTCCATACCGACAACTCCCACACATAGGTAGATAACGAAGATTACTCCTATCGCAGTACAAGACGTAAGCAGAACATGCTTTATAGTTCATTTTGCACTCAAACAGTTTACGGGCTACGCTCCACTCTTTCATCCGACTGATGTCACTTACATACCTCACTGCTTTACTTTCACTGTACTGCTGTCTATCCACGTAGTCTCCTCTATGTAACACGACATTACGATGTACCTCGTCCAAAACCTCCACATGTTCAACAACGTTCCAATATTGTACGTCTTCTACACCACCACACACTTCATGGATACCGTTGCCGCTACTTACATCCATCCCCGCACTTCAATTTTCACAATTCTACCTTTTATGTGCAACACTCCTGTGGTTGTCTTTCATTTATACTCCTTTCTACTCAACCACATCTCTTTCCTCCTCCTAAACGTATCCCTACTTCTTTCCCTCTCTCCACTAAATAAATTATTTTCAAAATCCTCATTCTTTCTATTATAAATTCAACAATATATGTATTAATGCTTACACTCACTAACATCGTCAAGAGCCAATAACATCATGTGACCAGTAACAGATTTAATAGTTACACGTTTACGATCGATGACGTTTCGTCACTTACCTACTCCTCTGTGCTAGAATCGGTTATCTTACCCTACTGTTACGCAATCGTTTATGTTAGGGGGACAGGGTTTATATAGTAGTGTTAATTTGAGGCAGTTAAAACTTAGTCAAGTGCCTGCTTTTTCATTGTTAACGACAGTTGAGTCGTCTATGTATTCACGTTGTATGATAAATAAAATTGTGTTTTTTTTTTATTCTATTAGTACAGGTATGTTTACTGTTTATCCTTATAGTTATTATCAAATCACTAGTTTTACTTTAAAAGGCATTGCTATCAGCGGCGTCCACCGTATGTCCAACGGTGACAAAATCTGGCCTCTTGTGTCTGTCTGTCTAGACAAATCCGCTCCAAATTCCAGAACAATTTTCGAGCTTGGTAAGCTCTGTGGGCTCAATGTCCAAGCTGAGCCTAAAAGAGCAACAAAAGACGTCCCACAGTGCCGCCGTTGCATGAAATTTTTTCATACGCCCAACTATTGCCATGCAGCTTGGGTCTGCTCCTTCTGCGGCCGTAACCATGTTACCACCGAATGTAAGTCAAAGTACCAAAAGAAGCCAGTTTAGTCGCCGTCTTACAGAACAACCAATGAGCAACACACCCCTCCCAAATCACCTTCGTATTGTCACGTGGAATGCTCGTAGCATTAAAAACAAATTGATCGAACTCGAACACTTCCTCGATGATCGGTCAATCAGTGTTGTTTGCATCACCGAAACTCACCTTGCTCACAATCACAAACTTTTCGTCCCAAAATTTCACGTCCTACAGAAGGGACCGCGAAAGTTCCAGAGGCGGCGGTGTAGCCATTCTCGTCCCACCCCACCATTCTCACGGCCCTTAACGTCGAAGACATTGCCCTTATAAATTCCACAAAGTCATTCTACATTGCTTGGCTAGGATTAACAAATTTCTGCTTCTGTTGCTAAACTGGTACCAGAAATGGAAAATTTCCATCAGCGAGACCAAGTCGGAAGCAATTTTCTTCTTTCATAGCCGTCGAAAACTACCCTCCATCTTAGTAAACAACCATTGTCAACTGGAAGATTTTTGAAGAAGAAATACAAAAAGTAAAATTCAATGAAACACAACGTAGGGGAAGCAGCGGAAAATCTGGAATACGAGACGAAAAAGGCCATACGAAAGGCAACAGTAAAAATTAAACAAACTGCAACCAACTACGCTGTAACACAAATGGAGCGGCAATTAATACAAAGCAAAAACAGCGCAAAAAAGTGGCGCCAATACGGCAGTATAGAAGCCAAACCAATTATGGACGGGTTAACAAAGCAAGTTCGAGCCATGCTCAAAGAAAAAAAGAAGTCGCAATGGGAAGAAACCATGGAAAAATGCGAAAAATCAATAAACGGAGAAGTATGGAGGGTCCTGCGAAATATAAAACAAAAAAAGGAACCGTCGACCCCGATAAAATGGGCAGACAACAGATGGCTCTTTGATGACTCCAACAAAGCCGAAATTATAGCAGAAGTACTGGAAAGACAATTTACAAACAATCAACCAATAACCCCAATTAATTCGATCGTAGAGAGCCAGCCACAGGAGAATATCAAATCATAACAGAAGTTACAAACCTTGTGACACAAAAGCAATCCAAAAAAGGCAGCCGATAAATACTAAAAGAGCGCGAATATCGCAACGCTGCCAAGCCGAGCGGGCTTCGATAAAATCCCGAGACCGTTGCCGTCGTGCCGCCGCTCGCCGAGCGCCCCTTGAGACCTACGCCGACCACAGACGTCCCACAGGAGCCTCCTCAACCCTAAATCCACCGCGCAGAACGAGTTGAGGGGCCTCCCTTGTGATTCCTACTGCCTGGACTCCGCCCTGACATTTAATGTAGTAATTGTTGTTTAGCTATATGACTTATAAGTAAAGTTAGGTATAAGCTTCGATTACTTGAAGACGTGTACTCCATGTATCTACAAACCTCCACTTAAATAAAGACTAAAGAATAGCTTTCTGTATTTGATTCCTTGTTTATCATAGATTGTCACCGGTCCGCCCCACCAACAGTCCCAACCGCGGGGTCACCTCAACCATGTCCACACTATGATCAAATCGAATAAAGAACGAATGACTGTAAGAAATAAAAAAGCTCCAAAAAATACGAAAACAAAGAACAAAAAAGAACCAATAAGAAAATAAATAAAAGAGATGAACAGCAGAGAAAATGATGACACAGAAGATTGGTTTTTAATTGACTTAATTTTGAAATTTTAGTCTTTTATATTGCTAAGTATAAGTAACTCTTGCAAAGGAAACGCATACGCGTCTACTGTGATATTCATAAAAAAAAATTAGATCTAATATAATTTACAAATAAATGTCGATAAGTTGCTCGGTCTGACCTCAATAATTTTCCTACAGAATGAAGAAAGTAGTAATAAATTAGATCTGTTGTAATTGCAGAATTAAAGTACAGAAGTTGCTCCGTACGTCAATAATTTTTCCTATAAAAAAGACTCATACCGAGTTTTAGATCGTCAAAGTGTTATAATATTTATACGTAAAATTAATATTATATAAATCGATGGTTAACGAATCAACTAACCTACCTCTGGTACTTCTTTCAAAGTGTTTCGCACAAAAATACGACGTTATGTATAACCTACCGAGTATATTAGGATTCATAGAAAATTTTAAGGGAGTCAAAGAACGACGTGACCAGGGTGATTCAAAAGACGAATTTGCCCGAGTTTTTAAAACCAGATGTTAGGCAAAGATTGATATTAAACGAACCACCCGAAGACAGTGACTACGATTCAGGTGAAACTATTGCTAATGATTGAGTAAGTATAAATAGTAATCGTATTCATGTTATATAATTAATTCTGATTTATTTTGTTAATGATCGTCAAACGTCGAACAAGACATATTTATTTAGTTTGGAGTAACGATAGGTGAAATAGCCAAAAAGGTTTTATGTGAATTTTGGGGTTTATCGTTCGAAAAAACTAGGAAAATTGCCGAGACATTCGAATCATGAACTTCCTTTAATGTCTATAAAATGAAAACAGATGCAACCCTCTACAAGTGCTGAACAGAGTTATAAGAAAGCGTAAACCTTTGAAAGCAGGGTTTGCAAGATATGTGATGTACGTTTAGTAAAAGCCTTGGATTCATCACCTCAGAACCTTATAACAAACAGAAATTATCTACCTGGCAACATGAAGAAGGCTTTCAGGTATGTTATTATTTAAAACTTTCTTTTTTTCATAACCTGTAATGTATAACTTACAGGTTGTAAGAAGCAATCCTGTTTCAAAACAAATGGGACGAATGTTTGATACCTTCACAGTTTTTGGAAGAAGTAGAACTGAAGGCTAGGCTACTTCTGAACCAACACGTCAACTATCTAATCGTAAACATATAGCTTTCAAATTTAACATGCAGTTGTTTGGGCAGTACGTGAAATTACTCGAAGATCAGGTAACAGTGTCAGATAAATCATTTGAAACTAAAATGTGTACGATAACACTACGCAAAAATGAAATTGTTTCGGTCTCAAAATTAGTCCTATCCTATGTCTTCTCGTTTACTGAATACAAAAACGATCATTAAAAGAACCGATTAGCTCTAGTTTTAGAGATACAAGATACTTTTTATATTTTATAAATTCTTTTTTTTTTCAATCTGCGGAAAATTTGTTTTCGAAATTGACAACATTGTTAATTGTCAAAACACACATAAATTTTACTTGTCAAATTACTAAGTGTGATACTATTGCGGTAACGGTGAAATTTATAGTATTTCGTACATATCATCTTGTTTTGGAATGATTTAAAGAGAGAAATCGACATTCCACGAAAATTTAGTTAATAATTTTTGTTACATTTGTGGAGATATAACGTTTGCCTTTCAAAAACGCAATTNTTGGACTACCAAAAGATTACTAAGTGTGATACTTTTGCGGTAACGGTGAAATTTATGGTATTTCGTGCGTATCATCTTGTTTTGGAGAGTTTTAAAGAGAGAAATCAACATTCCACGAAAATGTGTAAATTTAGTTAATAATTTTTGTTACATTTGTGGAGATATAACGTTTGCCTTTCAAAAACGCAATTTGACGCCTCTTGTAAAGACTGCACATCAACGTTATTTTGGTATGAAGGTAGGAAACCAAAATAAGCCATGGGCTCCACACATATGTTGCAATTCGTGTTCAGTTATATTATGAGAATGGCTGAAAAACAAAAAACGATCAATGGCTTTTGCTGGGCCTATAATTTGGCAGGAGCCCAATAATCACATAGACGATTGCTATTTTTGCTTGACTCCGTCTATAAAAGCAGGATTGTCAATGAAAAAAATTAAAAACTGTCAAATCAGCTACTCGACCTATTCCACATTCAGACAGTTTACATGATGACAGATCTTGATTTGTCACAAGAGAAGGCAGAACTTCTAGGTTCAAGGTTACGGTAATGGAATCTCCTGCAGAATGATGTCAGGGTCACCAAGTACAGACAACGCCATAGGGATTCGATTCCTTTTTTTAAAAAGAAAGCCTTGTTTTTTGTTTTAATATTAATGGGTTGATGAAAAGTTTGAATAAGAAGCATGATCCAACTGAATGCAGAATTTTCACAGACTCCTCCAAGCTTAGTTGCTTCATAATGGCAACCGTCTACCTTCCATTCCTATTGGGCATGCGGTTCACAGGAAGGAGACATGCAAACTTGGCAGACCTCCTAGATTCAATAAACTACCTGAAATATAAGTGGAAAATCTGCGGTGATTTAAAAGTGATTGCTATACTCTTAGGGATGCAATTTGGGTATACGAAATACTGTTGCTTTTTATGTATGTGGGATAGTAGGGATAGAGAATCACATTATATTCAAGCAGATTGGCCTGAAA